TCATAATATACCCACCACACACACACACACACACACACACACACACACACACACACACACACACACACACACACACACAAAAATAACAAGATTTTGTCTTTGGAAGACAGAAATTCCCAGGCCAGATTATTCAATTTTTGATTCTTGACTGAAGTGCGTGGCTACACAGTAACAGAAGGCTGTGAGGCTCTCCAAGAAGTCACTTGGGTGTCTTCCTCAGTATTATAGTCTCCTGAAGCTGTCACAGAACAGGAAATATTTTTAGCTAGCTCACAATGTATTGCTTTATAAATACACTGTTTTTTTGAGTTTTGACAATTTAATACATATTCTACATATCCATGTTGCCCATGATGCAAAATTGTGGAAAGCTGTGCATGTGTAGTTGGGGAATCAAAGTCTAATGACAGAAGACAAGGTTATATTAATTCAAATAAACAATAGAGTGTGTGTTCCTTATTTATTATTTTTTTTTCAGTCACTCACATTTATATTTTGAGCACATAACACGTTTGTTATTTATGTTATAAATGTTAGTTTAGACATTAATAACATAAATAACACATTCCCACTATCTCACATTCATAACCCATTAAAAATTGCCCTCCTTTTGACGCCATTGTTGCCTCCCTTTAAATATCCTGAACATAGTAAAATAGAGTGGTTACATATGGATTTAAAACTGTGTTCACTGGTGTCTCTGTCTGTCTTGCTTTTTCTTTTTCTCCTGAATTGTGATACTAATTTGACCCACTTTTAAAGCCGATGCTTTTGTAGGGTCGCACTCACAGCTAATATGAATTACGTGGGAATAAATCTGACGTCAGGCATGAGAGTCCCACACATTGCTTTATGGAGCACACCTTACTGGTTCCTTAATATGACTTTATACAGAAATTAGTGCAAATGTTGTGGCTTAATGTAACTTATAGATGATAAATGACATAATTTGTAAGCCTAATTTGATTTCAGCCTTTATGTGTCATCTCAAGCATATGTAATTTAAAAACTAATTGGTCATAGTGATAAAAAATGATGCAAACTATAAATCATGAATTATCGTAATAAAAGGTATGAGTTACTTCCCACTGACCAACGATTGTTCTATAATTTAATACATTTCTTTTCTATGGATTAGAAAGATAAGATCATTCCTGTGCCATTACGTTTTCTGGGTAGGACATGATCAGTGAAAAACATAATTCTGCAGCATAACGTTTGTACCATCTAGCCATTAATGTATCCTGAAATCCTGCTACAGTTTCACCTTACTTGTTCTGTAAAACGAGATGTAATTGCAGTTGATTACTGTCTAAGGATCACTGTCTGTTCCCCTCAGTGCTACCGCACACCTCAGCCGGCTCTGTTGACCAATCCCGAGCATAACCAGGTCTCTTTAGGTTAGAGAGCAAGGGCCTCTACATCCTACTGGCCGGTGCTCGGCAACAGCCAGCCACCAGGGACAGCATTGCATAGCCACAGTGGCTGAGATGAGTAATGCTGCTGCCACCCAGGACTTAAAGCATTTAATGAGAGTAATAGCATCTACACGCAAAAAGACAGAGTGACAGCATAGATTACGTGGTAAATCTTTGGGATAATGAAGAATCCTGGGACCCTCACTGGGGAAGTAATAAATTTACTCTTGTAAGAACTGCAATTACCTCTGTCACTGGCTGCCTGTACCCATGTTGTGCAGGAGAAACAGAGTGAGGCATCTCTATTTAACGTCATTAATAATTAAGAAGAGGGAGGAATGCAGTATTTTGTGTGGGAGATTCTAAATTTTAATGGAAAAAAAAAACTGGCATATTTATAGTATTTGGATAAAGAAAACCATAAGGATTTGAGCTGTCCTTTTCTGTTGATCTACTTTCCCTCTTATGCTATGCCCTGCGTGCATGTTGAGTGTGCTTCTTTAAAAGACAATATTTTATTGAGAAGAAACATGAGACAGCAATGAAGAATGTATGGCTTCTATAAAAAATGTTGATTTGAAGATGCTCATAATGGCAAAACCGATCAGACTAATGTTCAAGACGCATTTCCAACAAAGGCTTTACTGATGCTGCAGAAGGTGTTTATTTAAAGGTCATATTCACAGGAAAAAAAAAAAAAAATTGGTTCCCAACGGTCATTATGCTTTATGCTAATAATCAGCACTTACCTTTGCCGAGATTTAGTACCCACAGAGCAATGAATTATTTTTACAGTACAAAGTCCTATAATTGTGCTACTATCTTTCTTCTAGTTGTAGATGGGTTTTACTGCCTTTGTAGTCCTGGTTATGCTGGCCTGAGATGTGAGGAAGACATTGATGACTGCGTGAACAGTTTGTGCAGTCCCAACTCTGTCTGTAAGGATCTCCATCAGGTGAGTGGGGTTTTTTTGCAAATATATATATATATATATATATATATATATATATATATATTTATTTATTTTTTTTTTTAAAGCTTCAAACTGGGATGTGTCCTGTAGGCATATATATTATTAGCAGTATTTGATAACAGAAGGATAGTTACGTTATATTTTAATGGGAGAAATGCATGTTACATTTTTATGGCTCCTTTGCAGTGTAAAGTATTCAGTCTGGTTATCCTATTGAAACTGAGTAAACTGGTAGCTTGGCCCACACAGCTTCATTTCAATACATTAGAACGTCATTAAAACATTTAATTATAATTCAATTCAAAGCAATATATTTTTTCAGTTCATTACACAAAGTGATTTTTAAGTGTCTGTAGCGGTTAATTAAAAGCAATTAAAAGGAAGGGTTGTTAATTGAAAAATGTTGCATTGTATTATGGGTTGCACAATCATGGGAGACCTTCTCAGTTGTCCTGCAGCCAGTCGCTGGCACCCTCCACAAGAAAAACCAGCCACGAAATGTGACCGTTCACAGTGTTGCAACCAAACATATCAATGAAAATGTGCCTGTAATGAAAAAAGTGTGATAGAAAAAGCTATTAAAGTAATACATCTACTATAGCCTTGAGAGTATTCTAAATCAAGGCTCTTTCTGGATTTGTTGAGGAGATTTACAAGCACACACTTAAAAAGCTTCGACAGATTTTAACTTAAGAACATTTAAGAAGAAGTTTTTCTTGAAACTGAAGAAGAGCTTTTTAAATGTAATGGTAAATTCAGGAAAAATACAAAATACAAAGAAAAATCCTACTGTTGCTCCTTTTCTAACTTTAAGTGGAATTCCCTAAAACTCCTTTTAGATACAACTGAACATGATAAACAGACTAGAATGGCATCTCAGGCAATATGTTTTTAATCCTAATGTTGGGGAATAATTTTCATTATCTCATTATTCAAATAGGGATGGTTTTCGGAAACTTCTTGTTTACACTTCTTGTTTGTCTCTGTGAACACCTTGTCCTGTGGAGCTTTTGCTTATTTTGGAGAATTGCAGTCCCTGAAGGTGACTTAGCAGCAAAAATGAGATTATGTTCTTTTGCCAGGGGTAAGGAATTGGAGTCTCCTGGAGGTATCTAATTTATCACAAGATGACGGCATTTCCCTCTCTGCCTTTTGAGCCTATATGGTGCAAATTATAACAGACAAAGTTTAAAGGCTTCCCTCCGCTGCATGAAATAGTGGTTATATTGCATTAGGCCAAAAGTTGCTTTAGAGCATTCAACAGTATGTTGACATGTTAGGATTCGCATCAACCCTTCACTGCAGCCCCTTATATTGTACGTAAAGAGGTATTTACATCAGAAAGCAATGGGCACAAAACATTTATCCGCCATGTTGTGATTTATCATCATAACTCATAATGCAAAAATGGCTAAGTGACAAGCAGTCCACATGTTGATTCAAATCCACAAGGTTTAAATAGAACTGTAGAGACAATTTATGACACAGGATCTCCAAAAATACTAATACATACATACATTTCAGGGGGTTATTATTATTTTTTAATTTGCTATTAACAACCTTTCCCTGTAAGAAAGCACAGTTGTAATACCGCATGCTTATAAAAGCTCATATTGTGTATATTGAATGGCACTGAGGAACAGGCTTTCATAATGTCCGTAGGGTGGAGAGTAGGAGGAATACATCTGCATAGTGGTAATAGGAAAATGTAAGACTACCATGACTCTATGAGTTTAAACAGATTTCCGGAGGAAAGAATATTTGTTCATGAGTAGGAAGTTATATTCTGCAGTATTTTTTATTCATAATGTTTTCAAATGTTTTAAGAATTCCATCATCTGTTTCTTGCTCAAGAAATTAGCGGGATGTAATATCTGCTACATGACAAACCAATTAACAGCTTCTTGTTGCATATGCATCCCATTCAAAAGATGTGACATTGCAATTTGTACCTATCTTTAGCTTAAACACTTTTAATACCAAGTGCAGACGAGTCAAAATTTCCCTCTGTTTATCTAGTAGTGTTTCCAATTTTTCTGTTGCAGAGCTATGACTGTGTGTGTCAGTCCGGATGGGAGGGGAAATACTGCCAACGAGAAATTGATGAATGTTTGTCGCTGCCTTGCAAAAACAACGCCACCTGCGCAGACCTTCTTGACGGCTACAAGTAGGTTGTGCTATTTGGCTCGAGGGCATTGTCCTCACAATTCGCATCAGATATTTAATAAATGCATAAAAAGAAGCTGTTTAGAGGCAGCAATATGTCCTTCCACTGACAGCGGGGATAATGAATTGCAGATGGCAAGTAAAACAAATGAGACAATCAATGGCTAACAGCATGAAAAGGTTTCAGGGGATCTGGGACTCATCGGAGAAGAGAGCCAGTGGTGCAGCTTCGGCTTATGCCCCGCTCTCACTGGGGACACGTAAAAGTGCTTCAGGTGGAAAAGTTGGGGGTTGGACAGGAATGCAATGAGGAATCGTTGCCAACTGTGTAGCGCTTGCTGTCACTAAGTGAAATATCCACCTGGCTTTAGAGCAAGTACTTCAGATTCACACACACACATAGACACGCAGGTATTCTCATTCTCTATCCCATGTCCCTCTTTCTATGTTAAGCATGCAAGCATTTCCTTTTAATCCCCACTCAGCACTCTCACCTTTGGTGTCCTACATTCAGCCATCCAGAATTAAAAGCTTCTCTCACCAGCAGTGCAATTAACCTGCAAATTTCCCACACTGTCTTACACAAAGATGCAGGACAGAAGTGCCGGCGTGTATGACATTATACTTGTATGCTAGAGAATGTGTAGAATGTAAAATACCGCACATTACTCTACAATAGCATGCAAAGTATTAATGTCCGTTTGATCACTTTCATTTTATTGTAATGTTAGAGTGACAGATTTGGATGTTTTTGTTTTGTTTTTTTTTTCACAAATTTTTTTTTTACAAATAGTCTATGGTCATATTTTCACACTTTTTACTCTTATGCAATCGTATTGTTTCTGTGGATGTATTTTATTGGAACTTACTGTAACATAGTAAAAATATGCTTCACTTTCAAGTGGAAGGATTCAAAGTTGAATATTTTTCACAAATAAAAATAAAAGTGTTTTGCATTGAGAATACCGTAGCTATTGTCTACAACACTCTAAAAATCAGCGCCTTATCAAACCTTTGGCCTATTCTCAAGTCGTTTGACCATAGTGATGATAAATGCAAGTTGACGGGCAGTGGTTGTTTTCTTCCACATGTAGCACTTTTCACGTTGGCCACAAAGTGCAATTTTGGTCTCATCTGAGCAGAGCGCATTTTCCGTATGTTTGTTGTGTTCCCTTGTGTAAAACTGGGCACACAAGTATCAGGGGAACTTGCTTCATTTACTCATTAGAATGCTTCTGAGGGCAATTAGCTGCATGGAAGTTTGTTTTGGGTGTGAGACTAAAACGGAAAGCACAGTACACTTTTGTTGTTTTTCATGCATAAATATGCACATTTTGTAAAAAATTTTAAATTATCCTAGCCTGTTGTACATTCTTTTGGATCAAATTATACTATTTTTAGTAAGTGCACAATATTTTTTGTTATAATTTTTGGCTTATTGTATTATGTCATTCATTTTAAGTTTTTATATATTTAAATGTATGACTGACCACGACAAAAACAAGAAACAAGTCTCCCCAGGACGTTTTGAGTTATTTATAGATTCTGAAAGTGTGGATTGACGTGAAACAACATAGAAATAAAAATATTTGAATGTTGACACTACGGAAATAAGATCCAAGCCGGCGCTTGGTCCACCCAGACGTCTTGCACAGTTGAATGGTTGCCATGGGAGATTAAAGGATTTCTCAAGCAATCATGAAAGAACAAAGGCAACACTAGCTATGTTTTTGATGAGGGAACGACATTGTAAAATCATGAACGTACTTAATTTACTGAACTACTTATAAAACGCCCTTTCTTGTACGTAATTTATTTAGGAATTGTTTTATTAGTGTTATTAAATTACTGTTATTAAATTACTTCTACATGTCTCCTGTCACTTGTATTCAAGGTGTTTTTGTTCACCGGGCTGGACAGGTGTGGACTGTGCACAGGATGTGAATGAGTGTGATTCTGGACCCTGTCTAAATGGAGCTCGGTGCACGCAGTCAGACATACCTGGGGAGTTCTCCTGCACCTGTTCCCCCTTCTTCACTGGCCTCTTGTGTGACCTGCCTTATGACCCCTGCGACTCCCTCCACAACCCCTGCCTGCACGGTTCCACCTGCCTGACACGCTCCAATGGAACAGCCTCTTGCAGATGCCCAGCTGGTGAGAGAACTCTTTGCAGCAGCCTCATAGTTTCGTTTCTATAATTTGCTCCCATTTTCAGTAATTTCTACATGAAGTATTTAAATAGCTGTTGTAAAGCTCAATCGAAGTTGCAAAGAAAAAGTAGCATATATGCTTTATCTGAATTATATTATTTCTATAAAATGTTGCTTTATTAACAGATATTAAAGCAATTCTAGAAAGCCCAGCAGTTGCTTGCTCTTTTGCTTTTCTCCCACACTCAATGGATGCCGCATCACTGCCGAACCAACAAATATATGTTGGTAAGGCATATATTTGTGCGGCACAGATGTGTTGTCAGACTTAAATGCCTGGCATAAGTAAAAAAAAATAATAATATGGTGAGATCAGAGAGTGCAGAACTTAACTGGGATAAAACTGTATTATACTGATTGCAAAATAACTGTCTATTCTGATTTTATTTTTATTTTTTGGGTATATCCTGCTATGCGGTTTAGCCAGTCTGAAGCAATTTAAAAAATAGGAAATGAATGTTGAAAATATCACCTTAGCTTATTAAAGGTTTAACTTTTATCAAGTATTTATTCTCTCTCTGTCTCTTTCTCTCTTCCTCTGTCTCTTTTTCTCTCGTTTGCTGAAGTTTACATAAATGATTTTCAAACTAATTTTAAGTTATTATCTTGAACAGTCATAGAACGAGAGAAAGTCTGAGAAAGAACAAAGAGAAAGTCTAAGAAAGAACATGCCCAGGTGGTCTGAGACCGCCTGGGCATGTCAGACACTTAAACCAAACCATGAAAATAGAACGTAAGAAAATGCCTCCTTCTGGATCAGACGGATGATGACTTTCTTGGAAAATAATTGCATTTCTGCTCCAGGTTTGCAGCCTCTGAGTAAGTGCATGCTACTCTGTAATATTTATACGCAATAAACTCTGTAATATTTTATCAGAAATATCCAGAAATGTTTTTTTGATGAATGAAGGGTATTTCATTACACATATATTGTATGTTTGCAGAATTTACAAGTATATATCTGGTATATAGATCTTTATACGTTTGATAAGTTTAAAAAAAATTCTCACTGTCTAGTGAAACTAGTATTTTCCTGTATTAAGTAAGCTAAGCATAACCCAACTTTTTTATTTGCTAACTGCCACAATACTAAGTGAGTATTTCTTTATTTTTATTTAAACACTCTTTAAATTCAGAAGTTTGCACGTATTTACTTACCATCAGGTAAAATTGCCATTAAAGTGCATGACATGGGTTAACATTTTGATTATCCATCCATTATCCAACACACTTATCCCTTGCGGGGTTGCCATGGGTACTGCTGCTTCTCACCATCCCAACCCAAATGACCAAACAGAGGATCTCATCCACAAACTTAAGGAATTTGGTTCTATAAAAGCAAAATGAATAAATGAAACACAGTAACATCAGTAAACATGATGTACAGAGATCCTTAAAATAAATGATACAAAATATTTAAAAGGCCAGCTTAAAAAAAGGCCATTTATTCAGGGTAAAATTGTTTTATCCAGAATTATTTAACACATTAACATCAATAACATATTGGTGTTTGCTTTTTTAAACTTATCAGGTGGTTGAGCATTCCTGTACACAAATCTGCTTGTATTTAACAAACATCTGGTTGCATGTAGATTTTACATGGATTTTTGCTTGCATCGAAAATGAAAATTTTAGTTCTGTTAGATTTTATCCGACATTTATATCATAGAAATTGATTTATTTTTTCTTTACTTGCTAACTTCTCATCATACAGGTTGGATGCTATGAGGTTGCGCTGTAACTAATGGCTCTCTCTGCACAGAGATGAAAGAGATGTTGCCAGATATAAATAGAGCAGCTGGGTTAGTTTCAGAAAGGTTCCTTGGAGAGGAATAGGAAATTGGGAACTGGCTGCATACATTACAACAAGAGCTTTGCGTGGGCTTGGTCGTTTTCTCTTCACACAAGCGACTGTGACTCACTACTCTTCCTTATTATTCACCATAAATCCAACCTACATAACAGTCACAGAGCTGTTATACAACTTGTGACTTGAGTTGTTATTTACCATTGAACGTAGGTTATAAGTCAAGGAAATTGTGTTGGCTTCACAGTATGTCTAATTAGATTTTTGAAAAATCTGCATATGTCTGCAAATTTAATCCCGAAGGCAAATTGTGTGTCACATTCTGTAGATGACCATCGGACATGAATGTTTTCAAGGTTATTTCACTTTTATTTGGTTCATTTATTGTTCTGTATAGCTTCTGGTGAATGTTCACTAAAGGACACTGAAACGTAAAAAGATTTGTTTTTAATGGAGACTTATTAGTCTTATTATGGACCTTGAGTGTTAACTAAGTTCAAAAGCAGTTTCGCAGTAGTTGGTGGTCAAAGACAGCCTGCAGGTGTGTGTACTACAGAACTGCTTCGAAATTCATCCATCCGTACCTGCTTCATCTTCTTTAGGCCCATGGAGGCCTAAAGCTCAACCTTGCTGTCTTTGGACCAGAGGAAAAATACACTTTGAATATGACCCCAGTTTACCACAGGGCTTTTGCAGAGCCAGAACATCATATGCACTCAAGGCCATATTTATGGTCAATTTAGCATTTCTGATTTTTTTTTTTCATATGTCTCTGGACTATGAGGTAAATGTGAGCTACAAAAAAAAAAAAAAAAAAAAAAAAAGGAACAAGGATAGCATGGAAATTTCATACAGAAAATATGTGGCTAGCTTGACATCAGAACTGGAATTTAATTTTGATTTTATGGAAGTGCAGTTGCTCCCCTAGTTTAAACATATTAATCTTTGAACTGCAGTCCAAATGTAACAACAGAAACCAATGCATATTATTTTTCCATTACAATGAAATTGAATTTCTGTCCATTTACCATATGTGGGATTTAACACAAGGACTGAAATTGTGTAGACCCTTTCTAGTCTAACTAGGTGGCAGATTGACAAGTGGCAGGAGGAAGCTGGGATCAAGCCCACAACATTTAGATAACAAGACATCGACTCTTCAAACTGAGTCACAGTCACCCCGTAGCGTGTTTTCTTGAAAACCAAAAATGTTTCCAAAATCACATTTGGAGGACTATCAAACTTGTCATCAAATTTTATACAATAGATCCAATCTGATATATTAATCAGGATCTTCTACACCTGCTGCTACAGATATTTTCACATCCATAATACTTAAGAATTGTTTTTGTTCCTGGTGTTAAATAGGATAACATGAACACACTCCATAGGTACTGTCAGCAATACTACTACATTCTTGTGTGTCAAGAATGACACGTATTATCTTTGTGTTCATGGGATATTTTAGTCATTTTTAATAAAGACAATTATTTGTAATGAATTTTGTAGCATAATCATTTTCACAGAAGATTGATTTTATTAGGGGTGCACCGATTGCAGTTTTCTGGCTGATCAACAATCTTTAAAAAGCCTGACCTTCCGATTCCGATTTTGGCCAACATAAATTTTTTAGTCCGTATTGCTAAATTTAGTAAGAAAGTTGCTAAATTTTTATAGAGCGCTGGAAACAGTGGGGTGACTATTGTCAACTGCAATCATTCATGTCCTGGTGGATGGATCTTATCTACCTCTCCTCCACAGACAGATAAGCTCAGCAGATAAGATTTCTTTAAGGAAATCATGCCTGATTTTATTGGTGCACCACTTAATTTCATGGTTAAAGTGATTTTTCTGTGAACATAAAACCACTTGAAATATTTCAAAAATCAGGAAAAAAAAAAAAACAGCAGCAAAAGAACTATTTTATATGCCTATGTGTATAAGAGTGTTTGTGTGAAGAAATAGCCTAAGTATCTTTTCATACAAAGAGCTTTTTAGTGGTATACCTTGCAGCTATGACACCTATGATGCGTCATAGCTGGCAAGCATTTATAATTCCAATGTTTGATCTATAAGCAAACCCAATTATCAATATGCATTTAGACAAATGTTGAGCCAACACACAGAGAAACACCAAAGCTATGCAGGTAGTAATGGCAGCCAGCTACAGTAGTGAACATACCAAATAGGCTAATGTAATGATGGATTGGTGGAATCCTATTTCCTTCAGAAACTAAACTTTATTTGGTAACACTTTATTTGAAGGGGGTTGAATAAGACTGACATAACACCTGTCATGAACATGAATAAGCCTTCATGAATATTTATGACTGTTGTCATAAAGCGTCATTCGGTAAATTATGACACTTTTAATACAAAGTTGACATTATTCAAAATGTCTTTGTTATGACAACTTGATATTAACCAGGAAATCATTACTGTTTAAACTTTACCTTTAATAACATAAAGTTACCCAATTTTTAAAGTGCAATCAGTAATACTTTTATAACAAATTTATATCAGTAATGATTTCTTGATTAATGTCAAGTTGTCATAACAAAGACATTTTGAATAATGTCAACTTTCTATTAAAAGTGTCATAATTTACCGAATGACACTTTATGACAACAGTCATAAATATTCATGAAGGCTTATTCATGTTCATGACAGGTGTTATGTCATGTTAATGAAAGTGTCATGACAGTCTTATTCACCCCCCCTTCAAATAAAGCGTTACCCTTTATTTTTATTATAGATAAACTGTATTAGAATTAAGATAGGTTGGTGCTCAAAACTAGCTGGGGAAACCCATAGAGACTCTATGAAAAAAATACACTACATATAAACTTATACCATGTGATTGACTGAACCATCTTTTACTTCATTTATCATAGGTTGTTTTCAAACAGTCAGATGAATGGATCAAAGCTCCTGTATTTGTCTATCAGCAAGAACGGAAACTTTTTTTTTCTAAATAAAGACTTAAGTTTCTCTACTTTGGTACCAGCTTTTGAAGGACTATCACCTGTAAAACTTGGACTCAACTACTGGATTTTGGAATGAAGCCCAATCCTGAATATTCATTTACCTTAACTCGTAAACTTTGAACTCTACATACAGTATGTAATATTGTGAGA